CTCAAACTAACTAAAACAGTCTGAAGAGATTGACTTGAAAAATTCTTGATGTTCGAAGTAATGCAAGTAGAAACTTGTCATTCTGCTGGTTTATTTAAACCACTTCAGCACGTAAATGCTGAAAATTTTAAATAAATTCGAGCACATTATGATTTTTCACCAATCAATAAACTTTTCTCTCATATTGAGACAAGCTACAAAAAGGTTAATTTTAATTTTCAAAAATTCTGCACATTCAATCCGGAAGAGGTGCAGATTTGATTTTCTTGCTAGTTTATAGAGCGCACCTTATTGTTTAATTGTGGAAAAAATTAAGCCAATTGAGCAACGATATGATTTTTCAAGAGCTAACCGACTTTCATTTCAAACTAACTCAAAAAGTCTGAAGACATTGACTTAAAAAATTCTTGACGTTCAAAGTAGTGCGAGGAAAGACTTGTTACTTTGCTAGATTATAGGAGACACTTCAATTTGCAAATAGTGCAAAGTTGAAGCGAGTCAGACCTCAGGACGATTTTTCAAGAATCCATCAACTTTCATAAACATATTAAGTAAAATTCTAAATATACTAAGTTTTCAAGCCACTGGCTTTCAAAAATTCGTCACTTTGAAACTAGTGCAAGTAGAGACTGGTTACTGTGCTGGTTTATAGACGACACTTTAATGCGTAAAACGCGAACATTTTCAGGTAAATCAGAATTCAGGATTGTTTTCCAATAGTCAGCAAACTTTAATCTTATACTAACTAAAAAATGGTCTCAAGAGACTGGTTTTCCAAAATTTGCCACGATCAAAAAAGTGCAGGTAGAGGCTTGATTGTTTGTTCATGTATATAATACACCTTGAGGTGCAAATGGGGAAAATGTGAAGAAAATCGAACTACAAACTGATTTTTAAAGAATCAACAAACTTACATACTACCTGAAAAAGTCTGAAGACATTGATTTTGAAAAATTCTTTATGTTTAAGGTGCCATGAGAATCATTTTTGAAAATCAACAAACGTTCATCTCATTTAAAGCGAAAAGTTCTCAAAACACTGACTTAAAAAATTGATCACCTTCAAGCTAGGACATATACAGATTTGTTTCTTCGCCAATCCATAGCACACATCTTAGTGATCAAACGCGCAAAATTGCAAGCAAATCAAAGCACTGGCTGCTTTTTCAGGGCTCAACAAATATTCAACTAACTTTCGAAAAGTCCTCTCGTTATTTTGCTATCCTTTCTAAATGCCAGCTCACTTTAATGTTAATATTATTTAATTGGCTGAATTCCTACCTTGAACAATATCATACTCTTCGTCATTGGACACAACATGGTGATTAACAGGGTCCAAAGAAGCGAAGGCATAAATAATGTGCGTGCACAAATAAGGATCCAAGTCTTCTGGTGTGAATGTTAATGGCTGCTTTCTATAGGCTGCGGCCGCTTCTACGTAGCAGACGATCTTTTTGTCGGCGATGTTTTCAAATTGTTCCACATTGTCTTCTGGAAAAGCCCACAACTTTGTTGTGTAAATTTTTGCCAAATTTATGTGCAAAACCCACCTAATTTTAAGCTGCGTCCTCGGTTGTAGCTGAACGGGCTGATCAGCAGCTGCTGGTATCCATTGCTGACTCTGTAGGGTAGATAGCTGCTGATCATTGCCCTAAAATGATTAGCAGGCGAGTAAAAGGTTGAGGGCGAATTAAGCCCCCATCCTATCGGTTGCAAGAGGTAGTTTGGAAAAGTGGGCTGTTGGAGTTGAAGACTTTCGTGCTTCTTCAGCTGGCTTTCTTCTGGCAGTGGTCGCCTTTCCACAGCATCGCGTAGAGGAAGACGATGGGAATTGCTGCTTCTGAAATGCCAGAAATCTTTGGGGTTTGCTTGATGGGGCTAAGGAACTGTTACATGTCTGGAACGCTTTCCACGGCTGTTCTCAGTGGAAGGCTTTTGCTTCCGAATTCCTCTAGGCTCATATAGGAGGCTTTCATGCTGGAGGAAACCTCCTCCGGGATATGTTCTACGGAGTCGCGCCTGAATGTGGGAGTTTCCAGGGAAGGAACATGCTCGCTTCTCTTGGCGCGAATTGCTGAAAAACTCTGGCTTCTTTGCTCGGTTGTTGCAAGGAGCAGAAGGAGTATCAGCTAAAATCGACACGGAGTTAACAGAAGAAGCATGCAAAAGAAAGGCTTACAGTAGTGCACGTGTTCATGTTGAGCTTCACCCCACTGGCTTAATCCATCTAGATCCAGAAAAGACACGCTTCACAAGACCGGTGCTGAAACACACGAAAATCACTGTTGTTCTTGATAATCTTCTAACATCGGAACGACTAATGAACAAACGATCAAACGAAAAAATAATGGATGAACTTGAAACGTGAGTGCCACTGACCAATATTTTTTCGAAGACCGAAAACGACCGGAATTTCAATTGCAGTAAAACAAGGCGTTGTTTTTCAACGTTGCTCAGATTGGCCGTGCATGACTTTCGATGTTTGCCTGCTCCCTTGTATGCAAATTTCCCTTTGTAGTCATTCAGTTTTACAGGAAGTAGGGAGTTAGTCATGAATTTGACTTGAGACTACAATGCTCGTTTGGGGTGTGACCGTTTAAGTCAATTTGCTTTCGTAAATTATTTATGCGTAAGACGACTTTTTGCTGGTCGAAAATGAGACGCGCTGGGCAGAAACGGCTGAAGATGCTTAAGGTTGGTTTAATCGGTTCTTGAAGATGACGGAGTTGGTTTGAGTTAATCAGATTTAGATTATTGCGGTTTTTTGCATCGGTTTGCACTTGAAAAGGTCCTCCATTGGAACAGATTGAGTCTAGGATTAGGACGACGATGTGGACAGTTTAAAATGAGCCTAAATATTTATTAATTGTGTATATTTTCCTGACTGTATTTCAACTTAATTCAAAAGAAATTCCTGGGTTCCAGTCAATTTTATTGTTTACCATTTAACATATTACAAAAACGTTTCGGTGTTTTTCTCCACCATCATCAGTTTGTATGTATGGTTGTTTCACACAACCATACATACAAACTGATGATGGTGGAGAAAAACACCGAAACGTTTTTGTGACATTTTAAATGGTAAACAATAAAATTGACTGGAACCCAGGA